GAGTTGCGAAAAAACGCCCAGCAAGGAGTGGCTACCAAGTCACAGTCAGGAGTGTAGCCTCTGGCTGCTAGTGCTGCTACCTGCCCTGAGCTGGTGCTGCTGGACAAAAGCTCAGCGTGGCAAGCTGCTGACCGCCTGGGGGAAGCAAATTAATCTTTAATTGCTGAGGGTGCTCCTCCTGTTTTGGCAGAGCTCAACTGGTGGCAGTTCCTGGGACATACCCTTCAGCTGGCACCAAACACAGTGTATCTGACCCTGCTAGCATCACCCAGGAGCAGTTTCACGCCAAGCTTGGGCAGTCTCTGTCCTGAAGAAAGAAAAGGGAGACACAAGGAGACTGCAAACTGGTGTGGGAGTCACGAACCGGGCGTCTATTTGCCAGTCTCCTGAAAAATGGTATCACTTCAACATGAATCTACAGCCATGTGCAAAAATACACCCAGGGCTGGGATCACATCCTGTAACAACCCGAAGCTGAGTCAGGATGCTTGCCCAACAGCAGAGACCTCCCGTCTCTCTTCCTGAAGGAGTCAAGGCAGCGTTTCCCTCAGTACCTGCTACAGGGCAGGCACAGACTGACCACAACCCCCAGCCCCTGCGCTGCTAGGGGTGCAAAGCATTAGTTTAGCATGGGAGCCTACCACTGTGGAAGAGTCCTGAGGGAAGGTAACATTTCTGGAGCCTGTAAAGGGATTAAGAGGAAAGCTGCATTAAGGCAACTTTAGGGTGTTTTCCTCCAACTTCAGGTCTCCTTGTTCCTTCAGGGGATGCCTGTGTCCATAATGCCTTGCAAAAAGCTCTGAAGTCGTGGCATTGCTTACCACTCAGGACACGTGCCTGCTTCCACAAAACTGCATTTCAAGACCCAAGCATCAGCCCAAATGTTAGCAGTAAAACCTCTTGGGTGGTGTCCCCTTAACTCTGCCAAATTGCCTGGGAAATGTTGCCAGCTAGCTTGGATAGTCTTTTGGGGTTTTGCAGTGCCTGAAATACCTCCGATTTCCTGTCATCAGATGCTTTTCCTGCCTTCTAAATCTCTTATAGATGCGTTCAAAGTTAATTACATCTGAGCTTTAATTCACATCATCTGCAGGGCTGATAATCCTGCTCCCCCCCCCCCCCCCCCGGCTTGGCAAGGAAGCAGCAATTAAAGCTTGCCTTTCCAGGGCAGGCTGTGAGAAGCAATGACCCAGCTACCTGTTTCTCCGCCCAGCTTGGCAGGGCAGAGCTTCCTCCGACCTCTAGATGATCTCCCAAGGTCCCTTCCAACCCTTGCCATTCTGTGATTCTGTGGCACGTGGTGCCTGGCTCCTGCCTGAAGTCCCCCAGTCTCTGAGGCGAGGGATGGGGGACTCGTCCCTCCTGAGCATGGCCTGTGTGGTGGCAGTGATGAGAGCCACCCATGCCGAATCTTGCAAGGAGAGGAAGAAATGTGCAGCTGGAAATAAACTGATGGTTAGAGATGGTGTGAGCACTCCCGGGCTGTGCCAGCGGCAAGGGCAAGCAGAGGGGTCTTACCTACCTTCAGCCGTAATTTCACTCTGTCCTGAAGCGCTTGCGGTGGCGTTAGGCAGAAACCCAGGGCTGCAGAGGTAGAAGGGGCTCCTGGAGGTGATCTGGTCCAGCCTTCCTGCCTTGAGCAGAGTCATCCAGAGCAGGCTGCTCAGGACCATGTCCAGCTGGGGTGTGAGTATCTTCAAGGATGGAGACTCCACAACCTCTCCAGGCGACCTGTTCCCATGTTCCACCACCCTCACTGTAATAATGTTGTTTCTTATGTTTAAGTTTCCTATATAGGTACTGCTACATGCAAAGCTAAGGATTAACCCAAATAATTCTTAGCAATATAGGCTGCAGAAGACAGCAGATTTGAGACTGAAGACCCCTACTTGCAGCTTTCCATACCCTGCCTCATAGAGGTGCCATTCTCTGGGATGTTTTATCCTCGAGACTCAGGGTGATTCTTCCCTTTGGACATGTTCCCATTTGCCACCTGCCAGAACACTCTAGACTTTGTACCGTATCTTTCCACTGCCACGTTATCTGGAGCAGCCCGTACCAAGCTGTGTGGTCCTGTCACACAGCAGGGAGTTGGTCTTGCTGGTGGTTGAAGAAACAGCCTAACGTAAGATGTGCTGTGCACTGTCAATGGCACAGCCCCTACGAGTCTTGGGAGTCATGCCTGTAAAATTGCAGGTGTGTGCTGGGTTACACATTAAACAGGCCAAAACCATTTTACTTGGTACACTGTGCTCAAAATGAAGGGGCATAAAAAGTGAACTGCTCTGGTCAAATGATTTCTTGCTTCTGAGAAGTGCTGCCCTGGAGCTGAACAGAATGGCCAGAGCTTCCTCAAGAAAGGGCTGTGTCCCACCCTGTACTGGCTGCAGGCAAGTGCTGCAGAGGCCGTGCCGGCTCCTGCAGGTGGGCACCCTCCGAGCGAGCGATTTGCACAGCTTTTTTGCTTTGTGCCTCTCTCAAAACACAACCTGCACCCTCCTGGTGAAGGAAAATCTGCTTACAAACAGGTGGCAGTGCACCCACTGAACAGATCCTTGTGGGAAGAAAGCGGATAATGCAGGATGCTTCTGGGAAGAGACATGGGTTGTTAGTGGGAAGGCAAAGGCAGGGGAGCAAAGCAGTGGGGAGGAAGTGGAATAAGAGCAGACAGACCCTTTGGCTTCTTCCCCCCATTGGTAAGTCGCTGAATGAAGCTACTAGAAAAATTAAAAACCCCAATTAAACCATATTCCTAAAAGTAAGATACTGTACTGGGACTTCACTGAGCTCCAGTCCGCATTTTACTTTGTGCAATTAGTAGCATCTCTAAAGAGCAGGTACTTGCAGTAAACACACAAATTATAGTCCATAGATCGTTGTCATTTAAAGAAAATTCATTTACTGATTCTAAATAAAGCAATGGGGCAGCCAAATATTTGGGTTGTTGGGTTTTGCTCCTTCAAACAGTCTTTGTTATGCAGTTTATGAAATGTCAGGTCTAAGACCTACTAGAACAAAAAAGGAGATGAAATGATGTGAAGGATAGGGGTTGGTTGGGACAGACCGGGTGAGCTATTCAGGCCAAGCTGCTGCACCTTCTTAGAAACGTAATCTAGTCTTAAAGCAGCCTGGCCTGGCAGAAGCTAAAAGGGAACAGAGGGATTAAGGCCATGGCCATCTCCCTTTTTTAGTTTTCACACCTACAGTACACTACCTTTTCCTTGGTCTGTCATGCTCCTCCAGCTCCCCAGCTTAGCCAAGGAGCCAGAGACAAGGTTTTTGTTTTATAAACCCCTCTGAGTTCCTGCAACTTCATCCTGCCTCTCTTGGTGAGCTGGGCTGATGCCATATGGTAACAGAAAATTAGATTTTTCACTGCAATGGATGCAAGTGGTACGGTACATGTTGACCACAAAAGGATGCCTTCTGGGTTATTCACTGAGCCCTGAACTAGAAAAAAGAGCCACTGGCTCGCCTTCCAAGTCCCTCTTACAGCAAAGTTAAAAGAGAACACTCACAGAAAACCCAGTTAGATGAAAATTCTACTTCTCAACTCCCAGCTTGGTGCAGAACTCCCCCCACACGCCCCATTCCTCCTCCTTTAACTTGTGTTATG